GGCTAACTAACCGACACCTGAACCTATCAGGTTGGTACTCTGACACACAGTAGTACCCTGTCTGACACACAGACTCCCACACCAGCTTCTTCTTCCCAGCTGCTGCTTCTTCACATCCCAGCGTCTGCTGAACTTCACCACACAGGCTTCACATATATATACAGTACAGTCCCTCCTCCTGATGTCCCGCCTTCCACTCCCCATAGGATGGAACTTTCCCTCCAAACCCATGACAGACAGGTAACATCAGTGCTGTATGTAACAGCAGTGTCCCTCAATAACTAACCAGAAAGCCCCTCAAGAAGGGCATAGTCATCTATATCTACCTACTATATGCAGGAACCTGCCCACACCAGGATTCAACCCCAAACTGCTTTCAGGTGACAGGACCTTAAGACCAAGCAGCAAGTTCGAAAAGACAAAGGCTGAGATCATTATGCTTCCTCCTCCCCCCCCACTCCCACAAATGCCCCACCTTCCTCAACTGCTTGCCTGCGTGGAAAAACGTCACATGGAAAGGTGGGTTCTCTCCATCGTGGAACAGGGATATCGCAGAGTTCCATCACACTCCTCTGTCCTACCACAGGACCAATCTCTCTTTGGTGACCCTAAGGGAGGAAATACCATATTAACTCCTCAAATATGCCATTGAATGGGTACCATCCTATCACACATCCCATGGGTTTTTCTAGTATCATTTCACGATTCCCAAGAAAGATGGGGGGGGGGGTTGCCCTGTTCTGGACCTGAGGGACATGAACTCCTTTATCACCACAAACAAATTCCACATGGTTATCCTACAGTCCATTCTGCCTCTGCTCCACAAGAAAGATTCATTTGCCGACATCTATCTGTGGAACACCTAACTTTCACATATTAATCCCTCCCTCCCACAGGCCATTCCTTCACTTTCAGATCGATGGTCAGGCTTCCCAATTCCAGAGGCTACTATTTGATCTCTCCACTGCACTTCAAATATTTGCCAAATGCATAGCACCATTAGCGGCATACCTCAGACTTCAAGGAATTCAGGTCTTTCCATATATTGACAGCTGTCTCATAGCTCACTCCTGCACCAAAGCCTGTAGGGACACTACCATCACACTATAACTTCTCCAAGATCTCAGCCTCACAATAAACTTAGAAAAGTATTTTCTGAACCCAACAAGACACATCCAATACATCAGTGCATCCTTAGACTCGAAGAAAACCAGAGCATTTCTCCCAGAAGAAAAACATCTTAAGCTTGTCCCTTTACTCAATACCTTCACCCTGTATGCCAGGATCAAAGCTTTCATGGTGCAGCATATCCTGTGGATGATTGTTTCCACAATGTCCCTTGTTCCTCACACCCACCTGAAAATTAGATCACTGCAAGCGTTTCTTGCTCTGATTGATCCAATCTCCGACTATCCCTCCACTCTTCTCACTATGACTCCCATGTTGGCTGCCCAACATCAGGACAATCTGGCAGTTGGCAGGCCCATCAAGCAGCCACAACCTCGCCTTCAAATCGCCACCCATGCAAGCCTGACTGGCTGGGAAACCTAATGTGGAATCCTCCAGATCCATGTGGCATTTTTCTCAGAGAGAGAGAAAGCTCCGTATCAACGAGCTGGAGCTCCTGGCAACAATCAAGGCATGCAAGGCATTTCAAAACCATATTTAGGGCAAAATGGTACAAATCATCACAGACAATACCATGGCAATGTATTTAATCACCAAACAAAGGGGAACCCATTCCCTGAGCTTGCTCTACCTAGTAGTAGACCTGTGGGAATAGTGTCTTATTTATCACAGCGATGCACGTGACAGGTCAGGACAACAGCATAGCCGACTTCCTCAGTCACAAAGAATGGCAAGCACATGAGTGGAAGCTCAATCCATAAGTTTTTTGTACCATATGCACCCATTGGGGGACACTCAAGCTTGACATGTTTGCCTCTTGAGTGAATGAAATGCCACCACTACGACTCCGAAGCAGGGACTGGGAAGGGGTCTCGAGGTGACGTATTCATCAAGCGCTGGCCTCGGACTCTGTTACCTGTTCCCTCCTTTTCCTCTTCTACACAAGATGATTGTCGAACTTCATTAAGACAGATCTGATGCCATCCTGGTGGCCAACTGTGGTTCCCAGTTCTGCAACATCTCATATCTGATGCTGACCATCTCCAATGCCTTCCTCATCTACTCATTCAAGACAGCACACCAATCCTCCACCAGGAATGCCTTCCTTTATAGGTCGAGGAAATCTGAGTCCTTCTCTTGTTCTATAGACAAAACACCTGTCAACCCTTCAATGTGCATGTTTCTGCATTTCTTGCTTTAGGGCCTCTGCATCTTGCCTGTGCAGGGATATCTGCCAGCAATAATAATTTATCAGCTGGCTGGTTCGCTTCATTCACAGTATTTCAAACATTCAGTGGTAAAGCACTTTCTCAAAGGCCTGACACATTTCTTCCCTGATATGAAGCCACCCCTACCTCAATGGTTGTTGACTCTTGTGCTCAGGCAGCTTTTGCAAGCACCTTTCGAATCATTGGCCTCAGATGACTTGCACCTGCTTACACTCAAGTCTGCATTTCTAATGGTGGTCACTTCAGCGAGGCGAGCCAGCGAATTATCTGCTTTCCTCTGTGACTATTCTTACCTGCAGTTCCACCCCCAATAAAGTCCACCTGTTCCTGGATGGTTCCTTTCTTCTGAAAGTTGTCTCTCCATTCCACATGTCCCAGCCCACATCTTGCTGTCCTCCTTTCCATATCCATCAATGTTGCAGGAGTGAGTGGTTCATTTCCTAGACATCCAACGAGCTTTGGCTTTCTATGCGGCATGTACTCAGCATTTTCAGCAGTCCCCGCAACTCTTAAAGGTCCATCAATGGGTTTCCAAGTTTCCTCTCAACAGATCTCTAAGTGAATAGCTTCCACTATGTGTTTGGGCATCCCTCTGCCAGATACCTGCGCAGCTGCTACATGATCGCAGCTATCAGTGTTCATCATTATTGCTTGGACATTAGCAAAAGATGGATGCCACCTTTGGAAGGGCGGTGTTGGCCCCGATTCTGGTGTGACACCCTCCTTCCAGGTAAGGGAGCCTGCTAGTCAACCCAAGTGTGATTCACAGAGGCCATAAAGAAGAACAGGTTACCTACCTTTAACAGTTCTTCGCATAGTACTCTGTGAAGTCACACATCCCATCCATCCTCCACTCTCTGTCATGTCCTCTCCTGCAGCAGCAGTTGATGGGAACTGAGAGAAAAGGCTCAGCACAAAGGTACTTATAACAGGGCAGGGCCTATGCTAGCATGACTGCTTGCTCATCACAGAAGCTTTAGAACATTCCAAGAAGGGTCTGCACATATGCAAATCACCCTACGTGTGAATTAGGGTCTACCTGAAGAACTACTGTTACAGGTAGGTAACTTGTTCTTTTTAGAGAGATCATCTGTGGTCTCATACAAACCACCTCCCCCCCACACCTCCCCACTAACTCAGTTTTATAGTACAGTGGTGCCCCGTATAGCGAGGTTAATCCGTTCTGGATTAACCTTCGCTATACGAAAACATCGCTGTACGGGCAAGGAAAGCCTATTGGAACGCATTAAACTTAGTTTAATGCGTTCCAATAAGCGTCTAAACTTACCCCTCCAGCGATGTTTTCGCGTCTGGCGGCCATTTTGGAGCCGCCGATCATCTGAAGATGCCGGCCACAGAGACTGGCGAAACGTTAGGAAGAACCACCTTCAGAACACGGCCAAGAAGCCCGAAAAACCCACAACAACAATTAGAGAATTATTGAAAGTCAACACTGAAATGGTTCCAAAAACAGCATTGTTATTGATGATAGAAAATTGTTAGGTGAATAGTCCAAAAAAATAAAATAATAATAATAAATAAATGATAATGAACCTGATAACCACCACTCAATTGCTTATAGCAAAAAATTGGAAGCAGCATTGGGCTTTTCAGTTGCAAGAGTGGTATAATGAAGTATGGAATATAGCAGTTAATGATATACTACTTCAGAAATAAAGTTTTAAAAAGAAGAGATAAAGATTAACTAATTCAATGAAACATGGGAATAATTTATAAATCTAAATTGTGTAAAGGTCAAGAGAAAAAAAGAGTAATGAATGTATGTATTTTTAGAAGTATTTTTGAATTGTATAAAGAAGAAGGGAGATTTCTATTATAAGCAAAAGCATGTAAAATATAATGGTCCCTAGGGTGAGGGGTGCACTTGTATTTTGTGTTTATATATTAGGTGTGTTTTATGTTATAGTAGTACATGCATTTTGGTTTTTTTACTGTAAACGTTTTTTTAAAAAATTAAAAGACAATGTTCTCCCTTTTTCAAAAAGCACACACAGTGTGGCAGCTAATTCCCACATACCAGGAAGCACTCCAAAGGTCTATTCTCTCTTGGCAAGAGCCTCCCCCAATATATTCCAGGTTCCCACCATCAATGGCTCAGCCATATGACAAGTCCTTGGCACCACAGCCATCTACCTGGAGTTCACCACCCCCACCTACTCCAAGCAAACATTACCAGCAACCTCTTGATGTTGATACCCTCTCCAATATCCAAATCACTGATGCCTACTTTGAGAGAGTGCCCATTGAGCCCTCCACTGCCTGTCTGGCTGGATCCTAATCATCACATTCATGGGAGTGATGATCCATATCTTCAGGGCACCCTGTATTTCAATCACCATCTTGTCACCATTTATCTAGCTGTGAGCTCCATGTAACCTTGTACAAGTTTCCATGTCCTGCTAAGACTTAGACACCTGCATACTCAACTTCTGTTTGATGGCTATCAACATGCTCTAATCATGGCACCCTTGATTTTGCCTTCCTTAAGAAAACTTCTGCTCCAGGTTTTGTGCTTCATTTTGGGAAATTAGTGTCATATTTTGCATTAGTCTGTATTTCTCCTGTTAATATAATCTAAGACTTTTTTAAAAAAATAATGTAATTTAATTTGCTTCCCTGTAGGGAATCAGATGAGCAGTCGTCTGATGAGTATGCGCAGTGCCAATGGACTGTTGATGCTACCTCCAAAGACAGAGCAGTATGTGGAGCTTCATAAGGGCGAGGTGGTTGACGTCATGGTCATTGGAAGACTATGATGTCACCGGCAAGAGAGAAGTTTTGATGCATGTCCACATATCATTGACTGTATCCTGTAATATGCAACGGCACAGCTAGTTTTTTCTGATTTGGATAAAAGTTGATCAGTATAGTCAACACCTTGAACTATATTTCAAATGGATTTAAATAAGTACCTTTTAAAAAAAACCTTTAAAAACAAATCTTACAGAAATCTATTCTGATTATATCAAAGCAACTTTTTCCTTTCTTGCAATTGCTTTGTGTGTACAATGCTAGTTCCAATAGCGGTAGCTTTTAGTAGACAGCGGTAGGTGCCTGCAGAACTTGTGTTTTTTCTCATCTTTAAGATACAACTACTTATGCTCTTAAAACAAGGCTGTCTGCTTATTTATACTAGTGTAGACAACACTTGGATTTCCCTTATTAGTATGCTTCATAACCGCTTCACAGAGAGCTTCTGCTTGTTCTTTATTGTATCTCGTGTTGATGTGCACAGTGCCAAAAGCAGAGTGGCTGCACTGGGAACCCGATCAAGCCCCAAGGTTTCCCTCCCCCTTGCTGCGCGTTCAGGGATATCTGTCATCCCAGCAGCCACCCCGCTCAGTACTATTGGGCAGTAACTGGATACCTTTTGTTTAAACAAACAACAAAAATCGCTTCCTTAAGTGCTGACAGCCTTTTTAACCAATACATTTAAAAATGTACAGAATTAAAATCTTTAAAAAAAATCTAAGACTGATCTTGTACAGATATTAGTGTTACCAGCATTCATGTGGAAATTAAATGAGAAAAGAAATAAAACTAATGTTAAACAACTCTGTACCATAACATTTTCTGTAATGATACTGAAACTTAAATGAATAAAAAAAATCCTGAATCATTATTTAAAAGGTGACTTGTGTTAACCTTATTGTTTAAAATGGGAAAAGAATACAACATCTTATTTTGGGGAGGAGGATGTCATGCTCAAAAATGAAATGAGACCAACTGCATCTGAGCATGGAGAGATTTAGATACCCTCGTGCTCATGTAATATTCACATTAGACTGTGGTCGCTGCATAATAATTTAATATGTTCTATTAACTGGTGCTATTACCATGATACATAAGAACAGAGTATTTAAATAAAATATAAGTGTAGAAGCAGCAAAGTTAAATGCCACAACCACTTTCCATGTAACCTTTCTCATCTCTTTAAGAATTTGTTGTTTGGTGGATACTGTGCTACAGCTAAAGCATCTTCTGTATGTGTCTTGTGTCAAGTCTGATGAGCAGAAGGTACAAGATGTTAGTCTAGTGTTCAAATAATTTTCCATATGCTTTCAAGATAGGGCATTTAAAAAAAATTAAGTTTACTTTTTCCTATAATGACTTACTTACAATATTTACTAACTGGCCAAAATCCTGCATTGTGCCTGCACAACAGGATTGACATAATCATCACCTGAATATCAGTGATTTAATAATGACTTCCCTTCTAGATTTCAGAGTGCACACAGATCACAGTAAGATGAAGTTATGTGCACCCCAAAAGTAGAAAACGCCTTTAATCAGTAGGAATCTGCCTCTGACAATGTCATCATTCCTGTTGCACAGGCAGAGCCCACCCAACAGCAGTTTGGCCGGTATTTTTAAAAGACTTGCAAAAAGCAAGACCTGTACATTGTAATTTGATTACCACAGAAGCAACTATTTGGTCATTCTATTATATTAGACTATCATCAAAAATAAAATACACATTTCAGAATATTCAATGCCTGTTTTTCCATAATGTGGTCTATTCCAATCAGGAAATAGATCTTCTCAGGTTCGTTGGTATTGCATTCTCCCCTGCACAATTAGTGAGAACATGCTTGCCTTTTGTAACATTGATTTTTAATAAACTAACTTAAGAATTTTACATTGGGCAAAAATTGTTAGGAAAACCAAACTAACTGGCGATATAGTAATTAGCATAACTGAAGAATTTTACATTGGGCAAAAATTGTTAGGAAAACCAAACTAACTGCCAATATAGTAATTATAATTTATTTCAGCAGTAGAAAGGTTTTGGAAGGGACAAGGACAAATCAGCTAGACCAAAACAGTACAGTACAAACACAATGACCAAATGAAATCTGAAGGCAAATGAAAAGTTCACAGTAGTGATTCATGAAATTATTTCCACACACTCTAGTACAGCTAGGGCACGTGTAAAGGTTATATTTGGTGAAATGAAGCTGAACCTCTCTTTGTTTTTCAGAGAGGTTGTCAAGCTATGAAAGGGGCAATTGTCTACCAGATTTGTGTCTCTGATTTGCATCAGGAATATGTACTAGGAAGCAGATTCTCCCATGTAGGGGAGCCAGAATAAGTTTCATACATAGTCAGAAATCCAAGCAAAGATACATTTTACAAAAGCAGGTTGAGTAGAAAGACAAGAGGAGGACAGTAGATAAAATAAGTTCTTTCAGGTGAATCTACACTATGTCTACTGAAAGAAGATTCTCTATTAATCAGATGAGGAAGCAAGCAACATGGTAGATGGCTAATGACATTGTATGTGACTCAAATGTCTGATGTTCAGTATAGAGGCAACTGCTTTAGGAAAACAGTTTCTATTAGGTTCCACATTCAAAACATCACAGAATTTGTGGTCTTAACAGGTGAGATTCTAGTTGATTATTTTTGCAGGGAATAATTACAGACACTGCTGAAATTACACCAATTTTATAAGGTACAGGGACCCATTAGCTATATCTAGCTAATGGGGAGGAGGTATCCCATTCAGCTCTCAAGTGTCTTCTAAAAGACCCACCCCTTCTCCTCTAGCATTGTGTACATTCAATCACTGATTTGAAGGAACTACATCTAGCACCATCTGTTTTGCTTTTGCCCTGCTTACTCTATCTTGGTCTCACCTCTGTTCCATTGGTTGCGCCCAATGGCGGAATGCCTTTCTCCCAACTCTTCTCAAATTTTGTCCCGGGATGAGGGAAGGCAGGTTCCCTCATCTAACTTAGTGACTTTGTGCGGGGTTAATAGTTTTAATTAACAAGGAATATGAATAATCTTCTATAATCATACCTCTTAAATTATGTATTGAATGTGTTGGAAAATAACCATTGCAACTTCAAGCTTTAATGATTATAGACATATATAATGCTTGTGGTTTAGACCAGTGGTGTCGAACTGTGGCCCTCCAGATGTTCTTGGCCTTCAACTCCCAGAAATCCTGGCCAGCAGAGGTGGTGGTGAAGGCTTCTGGGAGTTGAAGTCCAAGAACACCTGGAGGGCCACAGTTCGACACCACTGGTTTAGACAGAACTGTTCATATTTTAAAGCTTTTTTTAGGCTACAATTTTCTGTATTCTTTATTGGGATTGTTATGCTAGAACATTAGTGTGTCCTTTCCAGCAGCTTTCAAATAAATCTTCTTGATCTGTGATTTCAGCAAATATTCTTGTTGTTTAGCACAGGAAGTCACAACTAGAGTAGGCCCATTGAATCAATGGAACTTAAATAGGAAATGACTCACCAAATCTCCACTGATTCAGTGGGCCTACTCTTATTCTGACTTGCTACACAAAGTAATAATCAATGAATACTTTCAACCTTAATATTTTGGAACCATGCCGATACTACCTTGATAGGTACCTTAGTAAGCAGGAAAGAGCAGCAGCAGAAATAGGTTCTACATAATATGGAATTATGGAGCCCTTTGCTGTGCAAACACAATAGCTGGATCCATATATTATTTCAGACCAAAAGTAAGAAAACTTCACACTTTAAGGTGCCACTACATTTTTGTCTCTTTTATTTGTTCTTTTAATTTTCTTTTGCTTTTTGTTTACACCTTTAGTGCTTGCACAGACTAACACAGCTATCTCTTCTAAAAATTAAACTTAACATGATATCTAAATTGACATGGTTTGTAACCACCTGGAGAATGAGAATCATAAAATACAGTATTAAATTGTTTTCACATTATGGTTTGTGCTCACACTATCGCTGGAGCCCACTCAAGAAACTTAAGTACTGAATAGAAACAAAGCAGACAAATCACTTTGAAAAACAGGGGGGTGTTGGTTTTAAACCATGGTTACCATATTAAGACTGAAAGGAAAAATCATTCTGATTCTTTTACTCAGAAATGTTTTGTAGGCATAATGGTAAATATTAATGGATGTTTGCTTCATTTTTACTCATCTGCATCTATCAGGGGAATTAATCTATCAAAAGTTTAAATCTAATTTCTGCTTTGATAGATAGATAGATAGATAGATAGACAGATAGATTGATTGATTGATTGATTGATTGATTGATTGATTGATTGATTACATACATACATACATACACACATACACACACACATACATACATACATACATACATACATACATACATACATACATACATACATACTTACATACATACATACATACATACATACATACATAGTGTGTGTTTGTACATTTGAAGTAATAGAATTGTTTTCCTGTAATTTCCTTTGATTTGTTTTCACCATCATGTCCTCTGAAAATTTTCTTTATACAGTATCATACCTTATAATGTTACCTAATTTCACAGTCCTTTTCAGCAGGTCAGAGACCTTTGGGTAGAGTGCGCGGCATATAAGTTGAATGAATGAATGAATGAATGAATGAATGAATGAATGAATGAATGAAGTGCCGTCTTATACACAGTAAAATATGGTAGGCTTAAATAAATTGTGTGCTTATAAATAAATAAATAAATAAAGGTCACTCAGCTCTGAAAATCTAGCTGAGCTTTCTTTACATATGTGTCACTTGGTATCAGAGTCCTTACTGGATCTCTAAAAGCTGCATTCATCTATAGAAAATTCACAACATTATTTTATGGGTGAGCAGAATAAACTGACCTAAAAGTTTTTCTCCTGACCAATTTCTGAGACTCTTATTACAATTATTACATGTTTCATTTTCTCTTGTAAAGGGATATGAAATTCTGTCAGACTTCATGTCATATAAAAGAAATAATACATCATCTTTAGAGAACTGCATGACTAAGGGTTTTGCTTATAAATGTTGACTTTTTCATTTGTCACATGGAAAATGCCTAGGACTAAAAATTATCATCTAAAAGCTGCTTAGTGCTCCTTGTGAAAATCTTAGTGTAAGGAACTCTTCAATTCAGCCGTGAGATAAAGCTTTGAAAACAATACAGTTGATGGAAGTTTCAAAGCAAAGTTCTTAAACGTTTATTCTTAAGAATTTCCATATGCTTGATCAGTACATTAAAAGACCTATTACAATGTTTTGGTTAAATTCTTCTTGAGAGAAATATATTTTGCCTCTTGCATGTTTCACTTGCATCCCTTTAAGAACATAAGTGCTTTCCCTATCATTATTACTAAACAAACAAACAAAAAGAAGTCCTGTGGCACTACTTCAAAAAAATGTATTTCCATACCATTCCAGATTACCAAAACAAAATCTCTCATTTAAACTGGGTGTAGATTAGGTGAGGAGTATGCGAACCCAGGCAGATTTGCAAAATGCAGTCTTCTGTTCTTGTGAATAACAAATTACTCTGCTGGGGGGGTGACGGTTGAGCTGTAAAGTTTAACCGGAGTTACTGATTTACATGCTTTTCATATAATCCTTCAGCATTGCATTTGGGCGTTGTTACTGAAAGAGTACTCTTTTGGATAAGCTTTAAAAAAAGATCCTGTTTCTTCTTCATGACCTCTGCGAATGCACACAATTGGGTAATTCTACACCTGTGCAGGACATCTCGGAAGTTTCTAGAGCTTAAAGACATGTGATTAGTAGGACAGTCTGCCGTGGAGCGTATGCTCTGCCCTCCAAAGGTCCCCTCAGTTCCTTTTTGCTGCCACCGGTTGGACCTG